AGTCTGTGATTGTTGGAACAGTGGAAACGCTAATAAAGACGGTTTTGGTGAGTTTTATTTTGTTTCTTTCCAATCAGAATGAAGTTGTTAAGTTATGCGAGGTAAAAGTACCACATTTATCTATGGTGATTATGACTGTGTCTGGTTAAACAAAAGGTCTATCTCTGTACGGATCCTTTGTTGTCTCCCATGATGTTGTCAGACACTTAAGGCTCAGATAAGAATCTGAGCCTGTCAGTGGCTCAGGTTGTTGCACTTTCGGTGGACGTACTTTGACAGGAAAATTTGTTCCCAAGGATTAGCTAACCTTACATGGCAGCCAGCTATTTTCTTATCTATCTCTGTGAATTGCGGGTTTATTTTGTCCAAATAAGCATATATGGCTGATAGAAAGACTTTGGAAAGACTCTACTTACGACTACTCTTCTAGGTAAATGGAGTCTGGTCAGCCTAGTGCTCATTGTTTTGGTCTGAGATCCCTTGTCTTAGCCATTAAATTGGTGAATACAGTGTTATACTGCAATATTACTGATAAGAATGATGAACAAAACTTCAAAAATGAGACCCAAGTTGTATTAAACTGGAATTATCTTTTAAGGCTGATTACAGTGTCAGTGCATCCTTAATACAAAGGAAACATAAACAGACAGAGGCTATTTGACAGCAGAGAGACACAGCAGTTGAGTCCTGATTTAAACATCCATGGAGAATGTTAGCAAGCTCCTCTGACTCCCAAAAAATTCCCCTTTGACCTCTCAGTCTCTAAAAATCACTGCAGAGACATCAGAGTTCAGAGGTCGGGGACGGGAGAGTCGACAGCAGTCTTTAAGTGCAGAGATTCTTTCAGTCTCATCGTCCTCAATTTCACAAAGAGCATCCGACGACGAACACACAAGGTATCACAGACAGGAAGTGAACTGAAGCTGACGCAGCAGCAGGCTTTGCATGAGCACATTAACATACACATACAGTATAATAAAAAGAGGCAACTACAGGCTGGAGGAGTACCTTCAAACACCAAAAGGCACCTTGGATGGGAAGGACTCTGTCATCTTTGATCTTCTGTTATAACTGGTTTGGTTTAACTGGTTTAAGTGTTACATGTCAAGAGCTCTGTCCTCAAACAAAAAGCAGATAGCACGAGGCAAACTTTGACAAAAGACTTTCACTGGTTTATACAAAGAAACTTGAACAATGAATCTCTGCACAAGCTCACCAAAAGTCACAAGAATTCATAAACGCCAGACGGTTGGTTGATTATCTTTAAAAACAAACCCGTTTTGAAGAGAATGTCTTAACGGATAAGGGTCGTTTTTCAACACAGGCTGTGTTGGAGCCGCGACCATTTCTTGGTTAGTCATTTTGTCGATTGACAGAAAATTTATCAGCAACTACTTTGACCAATTTAGTAATTATTCAGCAAAAATACCAAACTTTTGCTGGTTCCATCCTTTCAAATGTAAAAACTTTGACAGTTTTCTGTGTCATACATGGTAGTAAATATTTTGGGCTGTAGAAGATCATAACAGACATTTTTCACTATTTTCTGCCATTTTATAGACAAAACAATTCATTGAGAAATAATCAGCAGATTAACCGATAATGAACATAGTTGTTGGTTGCAGTCCTAGACTGTATTAAAGGGTAAGTTCACTCAAAATTAGAACAAAACGTACTTTTCTCACCGACCTCTAGCATTATTTTGTGGATAATTCCACACTTTTCATGATTTTTATGTTCCAAAATCAGGAGTGTTTCACTATCATACTTAACAGGAAAGAAACTTGGTGTCTGGTTATCCATCTTCTCAGTCTACAGAAATAACATGACAGCCATTTGTACATTCAGAGGTATTTCATTTTAATAGCTTAAAATCAGAGGCCATATTCTTTGAGGAAGCCATTGACTGCAACAATACCAGTGAGGCATTTCACTGCAGTGATGAACAGACCAGCTTCAGTCTCTGCCTGACGAAGGATTTCACCCAAAAGCTTCAGTTACTCCTGCCGTCGCTTTAATGTGACTTTAACCATCTGATCAGGAAGCAGCCTGCGACAGACCTGAATGGACAAAATGTTTGACTTTTTTCTTGCATTTTTGCTACCACACATGAGGTGGTCTGCTGGCAGAGGAAGCGTAAACCTGCACAGGCTGGAAATCATCCAGCAACCATCTGCTCATTAGCAAAGTTAAAAAAAGAGAAGAAGAGTCGGGAATAAAATCGTGGAAAAGAGTAAATTCTACAGAAACACTGAGAGACAAACTGTGTCTGTAGTAACAATATTCAGATACTTAGTTTATGATCAGATATTGACTCCTTGACCTTCACCCCCTCGTAGAGAGGGTTGTCAATAATGTCATAGGACTGGCAGTTTAACCATTCCTCCTGTCAACATGTCAAATGATCTTTGAGTAACACACTGAACTCCAAACTGATGTATGTATTTTCTGAAACTGGAATGTTTTTTTGTTTTGTTTTGGTGTAGATTTGAAACCAGCATCCCAGTAAAATGTTTTTTTTAGGAGGATTTAGTTTTCTTCGTCACTACTACTCAGTACTCAGTGTAGTAATTGTTAGTGTCAACAACAAGCTGCTCAAGGAGGCAAAGAGCTTATATTTCTGCTCGGACCTCCAAAAACTAAAAAAATAAATATTCAAAAGGTTAGATAATTCAAGCACATTAATTGCTGAATTTTGTGTTACAATTTTGTCTCCCAAACTGAACACAATATACCATTAGATTGGGTAGAGCACTAAAATCATGCCTGCATCAGCAGATCATCAGCTGAATCATTCATGCTTCATCGTCAGTGGCTCATTTATCGGCTGCTTGGCTACCAGCTGGGTAGTAACATCCAATCGCAACCCAGGTGTGCTGGGCGGCCCTTTAAACCTCTCACTCTTACTCTGCTGATACCTTGGTGACACTAACATTTGCTTTACAGTCACATCCCAAAACTTGCACTGAACTGACAAGAGTAACTGAAGCAGCACTGACACAACGAGTCGATTGTCTCAAGAAAATGGAAAATTGAAAAATTAAAAAATAATAATACTATTGATATAAAAATATCTGCAGATGTAGACAACTCCATGGCTCGGGTCAAAACCCATAATATCCAAGCAACAATGAAACATTGAAAGAATTAAATGAAAAATAGAGCTTTTGTGTGAGGTCGGTCACTGCAGAATGGAGGGCGGAAGAGGAAAAGTTTGATTCCCTGGACAAAGTGGGGGGGGGGAGTAAAGAGATCGAGGAATGCTCAGTCCTCCCTTGGTAACCACTGTCACAGTGCCCTCCAGCAAGGCACTTTTACACCAGGCGATTGTTCCAGTGGAGCTGCTCAATGGCCAGCAGCAGCTCCCAGATCAGTAAAATGGACATGTATGAGTGGATGAATGTGAAAGCAAAGCCTTCCCTGGACAAAAAAATAAACAAACTCAAACAAACAAAAGCAAAAAAAAAACAAAAAACAACAACTGTACATACTTTAAAACCTTATGAGCAGAGAAATTCTTTTCTGCTGCTTGTTTCCCCTCGTTTGATTGGATATTTGCTGTATCTGTATAAAACTACAAACGTACTCCTGAGCTACTGTACAGTATTGAGATTTTTTCTAAAAGGTACAGTATGGGGTGTAGAAGGTCACAAGCACCAATGCGCCTTTTTCTGTGTATTTTTGACAAGGTTTTAGGGAGGGAGGGGGTTATTGCAACAAGTCACACACCTGAACAATCTCAAAACTTAGACGTGAATCCC